CCAGCATCAGGCCACACCTCTCACCCAGTCGCATTTACTCTTCACTGTTTGGTGGCACGACCTCTTCTACGACTGGAGATGGGGCAGTCTGAGACGATCGTGCAGTTCTCTTATGCACCGCAGAAGGTCTTGCACTGCCACAAGCGGACTCAAGGTGGCAAACGAGCAGGAGGGGATTGAAGGCGTTTGAAGCAACGCTTTCGCAGTGGCACATCGGCTAAGCCTTGCCCTGTGGACGGCAATGATGCGAGTTGACTTGCACATGAGGACGACGCGAACTGCTGCTCAACCAAACAAACTATTCTCAAGTTAGCACTTCTGCCTCACCATTCCCTCCATTCGTTCCCATCTCCATGTTGACGTGTCACTGCACTTAACTGCTCTACCACGTCGCAGCAAACTCACCTCCTCGTTGTTGTGTGCTAGAAGGAGCAACTTGCCAAGCGATGCACTTCAACGCCTTCTTGCGTGTGTGTGTGTGTGCGTGTTAGAGAAAGTGCTTGACGATGCTCTTTCATCACTTCTGTTACTGTAGTGGAAGAACATGCTCCTCCTACTCGACCTCGACATCAACAACTTTCTCTGCAGCCGTGCTTACGGGCACGCAGACGCAAATAATGAGGCGCTGTCGCCTACCTCACACAGAGTGGCATGATTGTGGGACTGGAGAGTTTGCAAATGCAACTCTTACAACTCCATCCTCCTCTCCTCGCACTCCACTCCAACGCTTCGTCTGTGACGAGAGTGTTTGATCGTAGTGATTGCGAGAGCCTAGTACACCTCACTACTCTGTTTCAATCACTAGCCGAGAGTGGAAATGTGGACATCTCTCCTGTAATACAGGGCCAATGCAGTGCGATGGTGGAGCAAATAGACCCTAGGGAAGGTGTGATGGTAATGTGAGGGGCAGACAAATGCAGACGTCGAGGTTATTTGTTTACACCATTCGGCATGATTGTTGGAGGGCATTAAATCTCGACAATTGATTCACAATCCCCACTTCCTCATCACGTAAGTGCCACATAATGTGTAGGAGGTTTTGATAGTGCTCATTGAATTTGTATGGTGAGCTATCAGGAGAGGAGTCCGTGCAGATGGGGTTGGAGAAGTCGAAATGCGTGCACTACCTTGGATGCACTGATTGCGGCAGTTTCCTTCGCCCTTGTACGTACGTCAGTCGATGATGTGGTGGGCATGCAATTCTTCCAACCAAGGAAATCCCAAAGTGGTTCACACAGCAGTCCTTTTGGCCCATTCTACACCCAGGATTGAGGAGATAAATGAATATGGCACCTTCTCACTTCACACATGCGTTCCGCCTTCCCTCCTCGATGAACTTGGAGGCAAGTGAGGAGCAGTGACATTACCAAGTTAACGCCCCAGTATTGCGTGAGCACGCGAAGTGTTCTCACACAACAGGCACTCCAACGTCCACACATGTGGGTTTGTGGTATGATGATGAGGTGTGAAGGATGAGCCTCTTGCCTTGCGTGGCAAGAGGCTCAACTCGTCCTCATCCTCTGCCTTCTGCACAATGTGGATATTGAGTTCCATGAGTCCGACCTCAGGTGACGATGCTCATCTCATTTCCAATCATCCTCTCAGAGGTGTTGTTGCACTCGATGGTCGGTACGTGGATGTGCAGAAGCAGGAGTGGGTAAGGGTGGGCAAAAGGGAGGAAGTGGGGCAGGAAGAGAGAGATTGAGGGAGGGAGGGGAAGTCACATGTGTGCACGTGAGAAACGTAGTCGTCATGCCGCCCATCCTCCATAGCGTCGAAATTGATGCCCAGTGAGGATGCCACGCTCAGCACCACCGCTGATTTGTACACATACCAGCGGTAATGAGGTGGAGGACTCACTCATTGGGATTCCGTGGTCATGAGGATCACTGTCGAGTTCTGCATCATCAGAGTTGGGCTAGGTTTCCGACACCGACCTCCTCCTTGCCATCAGTTGGTGTTCCCAAAGCGACAGTCAATGTGCTACTTACCATTTGGTTTTCGGTAGGTGCGATTGCATGTGCGGATTTAGCAGGCACTCAAGAGGGTAGCAAGGCTGGAGCTCGACGTAGGCTACCAAATCGACCCAAAGCTACAGTGCCTCAATCGTTTTGAGGGTGAGTAGGAGAGTTGACCGCAGCAGAGCAGCTGGTGTGGTGGCTTGCGAATGAGGTGTCAAAGCTTCCAAAGCACACCCTCATCCGTGGTCTCGTGAGCTCTCACGTTGACGTAGTAACCGTGCTAACAACTCCATACGGACAACATCTATCCTACACACTGCCTGGTGGGACTGAGCGCCACACACTTATGACACTCAGCCGAAGTAAGATGATTGGAGTGTTTGATGCGTGATGCAGGTGATGAGCACATCGGTTCTAACCAGTGGCGCCGCATTGTGGCAACTGATGTGGGTCAGATGAGAATGTGCCAGTGGCATGCATGTCAGAGTTATCCACCTGCATTTCAGGCACTGGTTGGGCATTGCTTGATGCTAAATGAACGGGTGGTTGTCTGTGACACACCTCAGCAGTGCCAACATGCAAGGGGCATATTTCATCGTCAATGAAGGCGAGAATGATGAGGAGGGAAGTGGATGGTTGAGAGAGAGAGAGAGAGAGAAAGACGTGATGACCTGTAGGCCACTTTCGTGGGAGCAACGATCTGTTCAGATGGTCTTCAAATAGCGATCCCTTACACCCTTTCCATGCTCACAGCATCCACCTCCGTGTCGAAGAGGCGACTATCACCTCGACAAGACCCCACACTGCGTGGAGGCTGAGAGAGGGAGAGCACACAGTTCAAGCCGATGTAGGAAGTAGTCACGACTGAAGAAGTAGTAAAAAGGAATGCAAGAGTGGTCTATTGTTAGCATTGACCTAAAGGGACGGAACCTCTTTTCAACTGCCAACACTCCCTCCACTCCCCTTCCGCCCCACCCCGGTGACGTTGATTGCAGTCGATAACTGCATTCGGGCGACTAAACCAGTCCAGCATTTCCTCACTGGTGAAACCTGTCAGCGAAATAGACATGCCTTCCTTGCCGTCACGTCAGTGTTGTATAGAATGCTGACAGTATCACTGAAGTGGGAGCAAAGAGGTTCAGGGAGTGACCATTGGCCGCGTGTGGTTGGATGGTTGATTGGGTCCCAGCCTCGCTGTGTTGGAGGACTTACCTTCCATGTGTCTGTGGTCACTCGGATACCCACACATGCCTACATCGCTTTAGGCAGCAGCAGCAGCTGTTGGTCATGCCTTTTATTCTCTCCTCCAGCCTCGTGACCTCTTCGCATGTCCTCCCCCACCTTCGATTAAACAATCGTCCACTCACTCCTCCTCTTCAATTCCCATCGGCGATTATGATTGTTGGCAGACTGTCACCTTCTTCCAAATAGGTGCCTTAAAATAGCATTTTGGCTTGAAGGGGAGGCGTCGACGATAAAACGATTGGCACTCGTCGCTTAGTCGGATGACCACCTTTCGAGACCATCGGTGTGTCGTTCTGACCAACCTCCTTCCAATCGACATTGCACTCCACCAACTTTGTGACACACTGGAATTCTTGCTTTTCCTGCTCTCAAGCAATTTACCCTCAAATACTGTCAAAATGGAGAACTAGTAATGCTTGCCGTTTGCTAGCCTGCACCCATTTTTACTGACAATCGGAGGCCTTTTTGGCAAAAAACACATTGCCTTACTCTCACGCATTCTCTGCACATCTCAAGACGACTGTTAGCCGCATTAGCATATGAGGGTGGAGTTGGGGACTGGGGATTCCCAACACCTATAAGGAGGGGCATTTAGGCAGCAGAGTTTAGTGATGCCCTCCTCGGAAAGGCAGTTGTGTTCTACCAATTCTACAAGTCTTTTAGCACAGAGCTGTTGGATTTTGGCTTACTTGTAGTCTCATGCGGTTGGCGATGCAATGCATAGCAAGTGAGGCAGTACGCACCCTCACGGGATAGAATCAAGGAGCTCGACTACATCTTCACCATTGTAGTACCTCCAGATGGCGAATCGCACATGTTCATCACCTGAAGTAGCATTCCACTTGCACCTCTATGAGGTGACACAGTTGAGGTTGAGGACATGTCAGCAGGAAATAGTTGGGCCCCTTCCGCAGCCTCCATTCCCTATCTCCTACTTCATCCATGCACACATGAGAGGGAGAGAGGAGTTTCGACACACTTGCTTTAAAACCTTCGTTGAGGTGGAGAGTCACTCATTTTTTGTTGCGCCACTATTCATCACTCTCCATTTGCAGTCCTCGACGTGAAGGAGACTTTGTTCTCACAGTGTGAGTGGGTGAGTGGGACGGGAATGGAGATGTGGCCACTGCATGCCACCTGCACCTCAACGTGCAACACGAGGTTTGGGGGGATTGGCAGTGGCATTGCCACAGCTCAGTGCAACGCACCGTCTCAAAGCGCCAATAAGACGGAATTGAAGAAAGAGCCCCTCATGTTGGTGGTGGTAGCAGTGAAAGTGATTGGCGCCAACTTCCCTCCCACTAACACTGACACCTTAAAGGCCGTGAAGTCTAACACCACGTAAGCAATTTAATCGTGCAGATGACAGCCAAAGATCTTGCCACTTGACGTTGAAAGCACCCAAAAGTGTTACAATTCGCTATCCTTATTTGAAGTGGCTTAAAGCACGTAAGAGTCATGTAACGAATTCTTGAGACGAAAGGCTCCGTTGCTGCCTTCTGACAGATGAGGTGGCATTGCTGCACGACGCCATGATGTGAGTCTTTGTTCTCAATATCTTCAATGGTTGTTGTGCGGCCTCTCCTCCGAAGCTGTCATACAAGAACAAACGCTTTTGCCCTCACTTTTATTGTCGAGGAGTCGATTGAAGCAGGAATGCAAAAAGAGTTCGACTGGTTTCGAGAATGAACACTCACTGCGGATGGTGACAGCAATGTTGGAGTTGGAGGAGGCGAAGGCGATTGGATGCAGAGATAGTGAAAGGAGAAGGGAAGTATTCAAATGTGACATGCCTCACTGCTATTGACGCGACTTTCTTCGTATGGATCCACCCGTGTATACTAGGATTGAAGACTGGTTGAAATCAGATAGGAAGTGAAGGTCTTTTCGCAGATACCTCCTTTCCGCCGATCACAGGAGCTTTGGCACCACAACGGAAGGGATGTGAAAAGCTCTACGAGGCACTGATGAAGGTGCACAGCGCCAAGTCCTGTGCCATACGAGAACTGGTCGTAGTGGAGAATGTGGCGAATGTGCTGGCTGAGAGGGTGAGCTCTGTGCCAAACACTCTCATTCCACTTTTGGCCGCTTCACATTCTCCCCATTCCTCACCTCCTCCTCCTCCTCCTCCCACTACTACTACTACTGCTACCACTAAGGCTACTACTGCTGCAACAACCACTAATACCACCGCTGTTCCTTATTAATACGATTACTACTACTCTTTTAGCCGGACAAGGTGATTGAGAGCATGCAGTACTTCCTGCAAGGCATCGGTCTGGGTGAGTCTTTCTTGCCTCCTGCTTTCACTCCAACATCCTCCTCTCAACCTCCAATTGTTGCTCCAAAGCTTTGCAAACGAGCTTCGTCTTAACTGGTGGGGAGAGAAAAGCGTGACGATGGAGTGGTGGTGGTGGTGGTGATGGTGGTGGTGGTGGAGGGGCAATTCTCTAAGGAGGGTAGAAAGTGGCACACTTTTGGTGCACTTACATGACTGCACTCTGTTGAGCGGGTGATTGCAGCAAAGTGTGGCCACAATGTGGAGGTCAACGGTGTCCCGATTTTATGCCCGACACTTCTGCTTATTCGCCATGACCTCATTTTAATCTGCCATCGAGGCAGTGGTGGCGAGTGGATCACCTCTCTCCCCACAACTCCTAATGCCAGCAACAGCAGCCACTTCATCACCTGCCGAAACGCCGTGGCATAAATCGAGAGGTGGTTTGCCTTTGTGTGGTCTGTGGACTGTAGGCTGAGGTGTGGGTGTGATGCTCCAACTCGTCACTCATTTGGAGGGGCAGTAGGCGTGCTCGTGCGTTTGCGCAAACCAAGTGCACGATGAGGCAGGAATGCAAGAACTCGAGGTAGTTGGTGGGAAGTGCGCACTCCGTGTTTGGCTACAGAGCATAGATTAAGCATTGTGGCTGGCGTGATTAGGTTTGTTGGTGTGGAGGGGAAATGGCCACTTGGATTATTTACTGGCGGTTGACTGTGCGGGTGAGTGGGTGGTAAGTGGTGGTGGTGGTGCAGACCTGAGACCAACTGCAAGGAGAAGCACGTGTGTTTATGTGGGCATGGGAGGAGGGTGGGTAGGTGGGCGGGCATCACGTGGTAAGGCATGCCGTGCCTCAGTCATGAGGTGTGCGGTGAACTGCACTCCTCGTGAGTAGGAAGGGAATGGGAGCGATAGCTGATAACTGTGGCAATTGTTGTCTTTTCAGTGAGTCACATAAAGATGCAGACAACACCACTGAATTTGAATCGACGGATGTCAATGGAGGACTACGACAAACCCATGGGTCGTATTCAACTGGCGGGTGGGTTTCGGCCCAATCTCACGGCTCCAAACGACGTAGCAGACGAGAGCAATAACTGAACCTGCCTTTCTCCTCACTCCTCTTAAGCACTCGCATACACACCCTCACCCACACCCACATCCACACCCACACTTACAAATGCCCACACATCCACACACCTTGTGTACACGCGAATTCACGTAGTAGTCGTCCATGTCTCC